GTTAAATCCAGCTCATCCAGCTCACACAGGAGGGTTAAATCCAGCTCATCCAGCTCACACAGCAGGTTGAAATCCAGCTCATCCATCTCACTCAGCAGGTTGAAATCCAGCTCCCCCAGCTCACGCAGGAGGGTTAAATCCAGCTCATCCAGCTCACACAGCAGGGTTAAATCCAGCTCATCCAGCTCACGCAGCAGGTTTAAATCCAGCTCCCCCAGCTCACACAGGAGGGTTAAATCCAGCTCATCCAGCTCACGCAGGAGGGTTAAATCCAGCTCATCCAGCTCACTCAGCAGGGTTGAAATCAAGCTCCCCCAGCTCACGCAGGAGGGTTAAATCCAGCTCACGCAGCAGGGTTAAATCCAGCTCATCCAGCTCATGCAGGAGGGTTAAATCCAGCTCATCCAGCTCACGCAGGAGGGTTAAATCCAGCTCATCCAGCTCACACAGGAGGGTTAAATCCAGCTCATCCAGCTCACGCAGGAGGGTTAAATCCAGCTCCCCCAGCTCACACAGGAGGGTTAAATCCAGCTCATCCAGCTCACGCAGGAGGTTTAAATCCAGCTCCCCCAGCTCACACAGGAGGGTTAAATCCAGCTCATCCAGCTCACACAGGAGGGTTAAATCCATCTCATCCAGCTCACGCAGGAGGGTTAAATCCAGCTCCCCCAGCTCACACAGGAGGGTTAAATCCAGCTCATCCAGCTCACACAGGAGGGTTAAATCCAGCTCATCCAGCTCACTCAGCAGGGTTGAATACAGCTCATCCAGCTCACTCAGCAGGTTGAAATCCAGCTCCCCCAGCTCACGCAGGAGGGTTAAATCCAGCTCATCCAGCTCACGCAGGAGGGTTAAATCCAGCTCATCCAGCTCACGCAGGAGGGTTAAATCCAGCTCACGCAGCAGGGTTAAATCCAGCTCATCCAGCTCACTCAGCAGGGTTAAATCCAGCTCATCCAGCTCACTCAGCAGGGTTGAATCCAGCTCATCCAGCTCACTCAGCAGGTTGAAATCCAGCTCATCCAGCTCACGCAGAAGGTTCAAATCCAGCTTGTCCAGCTCACACAGCATGGTTAAATCCAGCTCATCCAGCTCACTCAGCAGGTTGAAATCCAGCTCATCCATCTCAAGTGAATGGTAAATACACCAGCTCATCCAGCTCACCACAAAGTTTGAAAGACATCTCCTCCAGCTCACGTGGAGGGTACATGTACCAGCTCACCCAGCTCATGCAGAAGGTTTAAAACCAGCTCATCCATTTCACGTGGCTGGTAAATATACCAGCTCATCCAGCTCATGAAGCAGGTTGGCAGCCGCTCATCCAGCTCATGCACAAGGTTTATCAAAACCAGCTCACACCGCTCACTGAGAATGTTAAAAACCAGCTCATCCAGCTCATGTAGCAGGTTGGCAGTCAGCTCATCCAGATCATGTGGAGGGATACCAGCTAACCCAGATCAGGCAGTAGGTTCCAACCCAGTTCATCCAGCTCACGTAAGAGGTTCAAACCCAGCTCAGCCAGCTCATCCAGCTCATGTGGCAGGTTGGAAACCAGGTCATCCCACTCAAATGACAGCTTGATAATACCAGCTCATCCAGCTCACACCAAAGATTGAAAAGCTCATCCAGCTCACAAGAGATTGAAACCCAGCTCATCCAGCTCGATTGGCAGGTTGAAAGCCAGCTCAAGAAGATTAAAACCTAGATCCACAAGCTCCTGTAACAGATTGAAAGCCATCTCTGCCAGATCAAATAGTTGGCTAAAAAGCAGCTCATCCAGCTCATGTACCTGTTTGAAGGCCAGCTCACCAAGCTCATTCATAAGGTTGAATGAAATCCAGCTCATCCAGCTCATGCAGAATGTTGATTGAAAGCCAGCTCATCCAGCTCACACCAAAGGGTCAAAACCAGCTCATACAGCTCACACCAAAGTTTAAACCTCTGATCATCCAGCTCATGTATTAGTTTGAAGTCCAGCTCATCCAGCTCATGCAGAAGGTTGAAACCCAGCTCCACCAGCTCACGTATAATCCAGCTCAGCCATCTCACTTAGCTGATATTCTAAGATTTTAATACTCAACTTACTCAACTAGAGATGAGGGAAGGGAAGCCAACCCACTGGAATTTGATCTTCAATTAAATAATGTGAAGTATTTTTATTGAAAACAAAGAAACTATTTTCACTGCAAAACACATGTTGGAATTTGATTTTTGAATTAATTCTTTAGAGCTTATTCTTTATTATTTTTTTAAATACTATTTTTTTGACTACACTTCCAGGTGTTCTATTAGGCCAGTTCACATCTGAAGTTCAAGACAACTTTGAGCACTTTTATGGATAATATTTTATGAATTTTTTCATATCTCATGAATCATCAGGTTTGGCGGAATTTGAGATTTTTGACAAACTTGAAAATTATTAATGATAAATGCAATGAAAGTTGTCTCAAAGCTCAGACGTGAGCCGTCCTATTGAATATTGCTTTGGACAGTTTTTTTAGCATTTTTTTAATTAAATTTTTATGGTATCATTCATTTTACCCAAAGATTAAAGTATCAATTGTAATATATAAGCTTACCCCGTTTCTTGCATAATATGTACCATGTACCGCTACAATCTGTATGCAAAATGGATATAACCATCAATTTTCAAACCTTTAAAAATTGAGGAAATAAATTCAAAATTTCAAAAAATAATGAAAGTTAAGTGTGTAGAAATTAAACAAAAAAACATAACAAGTGCATTATTCAAGAAAGACTTCATTTTGATGTAAAATTATTATTTCCATAATTTTATAAATGTCTGAAAGTGTAGGAAAAACATTCAAAATGTCAATAAATAAAGAAAATTAAGCTGAAAAAATTAAGTGAAAAGATGGGTCTAATTGCATCATTAAAAGGGGATTAATAAACGTACCCCCCTTTTCTGCTATCCACACCCGGTTTTTCACACCTGGTTTTCTGCTTCTACACCTGGTTTTCCCCAGCCTTTTTAATTCATTTTTTGGCAATTCTGAATATGCTAAAAATCTTCTAAAATTGATCATTCTTTTTGGGTATATAAAAAATCCTCAAAAGAGAAATTTTAATTTATCTGATTCATCAAGTTTTTTTTTTCTGCCTATGAGTTTTTGATAATTCAAAGTACATTTAAATTTATCATTGATATTGCCCAATCTTTGGGAAATCTATAAAGGACCAAATTTGATTTCATTTTGGAAATCCCAATGTTGTTGGTTCTGAGCTATAAGCAAATGGACAAAATAAGGAATATCTTGAATGGTACCATCTGTATGGAGAAGGTAAATTAAAAACTTGACAATTAAAAATAAGTTATGGCTTTAATTCAAGTTTTCAAGAGTTCATAGGGTCAAAAAAAATTGGGAAAAAACGGGAGAGAAAAATAAAAAAATTGAAGTTCTCTTTTGAGGATTCTTTATATGCCCAAATGTTTGAACTTTTTTTTCTGCTTACATAAGCCATTTGATCAACTGGAACACACCAAAAAACCTGAAAAGAAAAATCGAGCAACAGAACAACAGTACAAGACTCATGCCTTCATGGGCCCAGGAGGAAATTATGTGGATGTTGATTTGAGGACAGCTAAAAAAAGATAATGGCAAAAATCCATATTTTCAGCCCAAATCCAAAATCTCAGCACGCAGGGATTTTCAGATTGGTCATAGGCCTCCACAACGGGAGCGTTAGCGAGCATCGGAAGTTACTTGTCCCCCCCCTTCCCCGGTCAAATTTACATCAAGAAGGCCATTCATGCGGCCTATGTACACCACGGGTGCACCCAGGCGTCTTGAGAACGCCTGGGTTGACCGCCTTGAAGGCGTCTCAAACCAATTGAATGGGAGACACCTTCAAGGCGCCCAGATGTTCGCGCCTGCAAGGCGACTTGGATGCAGGTAGCCGAACGGCTTCAAAATGATTCGAAGTCGCCTCGAAACCGACTTGGAAACGTCATCAGGCCCAAGTCGTTTTGGAGGCGACTTCAAAAACCACCCAAGACGACTTGCAACCGGATTCAAAGTCGTCGTCAGAACGACATGGAAGCGTCGGACCATGCCGAACGACTTCAAGGCGATTTTAAAATTTAACTCTCCCCTCACTCATTCTCGATTCGGGGGGGGGGCGGTTGGGTTTCGTTGTGGGCCGGCCATTTGGTCGGCCCAGATTGGCAGGCACTCTTACGACCAGACATTTCATAGAATAATGAGATAGATTTGTTCAAGGAGTGAGTGATCAATTGGAAAAGGGTGATAGACAGATGGAAAAGGGTAACAGGGTTAAAAGAGATTGACATCGGAAAAGAAAAACAACCATCAAACCATTGTTAAAAAAGAATACAAAGACAAGTTGTGGCAAGCAATAGCAAAAAGACAAAGGAATCACAGATTGGAATTAAGGACCGTTAAGAAAAAAAGGGAAGAGAAAAAAAAGAGAAGAGAAAAAAAGAGAAGTTGTAGCGACCAATAAGCAAAAAAAATGAATATCAATAAGAGAAGTTATAACAATCGATGAGCAAAAAAAGAGATCGATGTGTGATAACTAGATGCTCTGTACAGAAGGACCTGCCTGTGTCACCGGTGGTCCATGTTGCTGTTGCCAGTGCTGGCCGTTGTTTCAGTGGCTGGTTGGACAGATGGGACTGGAGGGATTTGGCTGTTGAGGACAATGAGGATTGACATAAGCCATTGCTCCTCTTCAGGCATCTGACAACCAAGTGGAATCAGTCAGTAATTGACATTAGAGTGCAAGAAACAGATTGACTTACATCCGAGAGGGTTTGAGGTCATTGGATGAGCTCTTCACTGAGCCGATAATGGGGCTCCATTGATCGGAGAAGGTTTTGGACAGATTCAAGGGCCCTCGGGTTGATGGGGTAAGCGTACTAGAGGGGAAGGTCGGTCACTGTCTTGACTAGATAAACTGGCAGGGAGGGAATCAGATACAATGGGTGGATTGGAAAGCTGAATAGATGTCTGTCGAGAATGGTGGTATATGGTGGTGGCTGTCCAGGTGGGTGTACTCAGGCACAGAGCGGTTCAATGAGGCCTTGATGAACTTAAGACTTTTCAGCTTCGACCCCCCTGGCCACCCCCCCCTCCAAGGGGGCTATGCAAGAATCAAGTTTTCAAGCCGCTGTGAAAACCACCCTCGGTTTTGAGCTGCCTTGAAAACCACCTTTGGTTTCCAAGCCGCCTTCCGAACCAATTTGGGTTCCAAAGACGACTTGAAAACCAAAGGTGGTTTTCAGGCCGCCTTGAAAACCGAAGGTGGTATTCAGGCCGCCTTGAAAACCGAGGAGGCAGCTTCAAAACCGAGGCTGGTTTTCAAGGCGGCCCGACAACCACCTTTGGTTTTCAAGTCGTCTTCCAAACCCAAATTGGTTCGGAAGACGGCTTGGAAACCGAAGGTGGTTTTTGGGCCGCCTTGAAAACCAAAAGTTGCACCCGTGGTGTACCATTTCGGGTTTTGGCCCCAAAATTCATATGTACAGTGGGTGCCCTGTTATTTTTGGCGCCTCAATTATATATTTTTAAGGGACAGGGGGGGTTCCTGAGGATCTAAGTGTTGGTCCCGGGAGCTCAAGGGGCTCACAAGGATGATAGGACACTTCTTTTAATTACACAACATATGAAAAAAAAGATAAAAATTATTCTGTTTTTTGGCTATTTTCTACTTACAAAAGTAATCTGCTTAAAAATAAGAGAGCTGGAGGGGGGGATGGAGAGGAGTCTGGGAAGAATGATTATAAGAAAAAAACCTGAAAAATATTTTTTTATTTTTAAATATAATTTTTTTTAGTTTTTATTTTTTTTATTTTTTATTTTTTATGCTTTGTTTGAGAAAAAAAATGAAAACTACCATCTTACAGACCCCCCATCAGCCTTAATAACCTCTGCCATTCGTTCCGGCATTGAATTGATAAGGTTGTCAAGAATATGGCTTGGGAAGTCGGCCCAAGCCTGATTGAGAGCCTCGTGCATTTCGGGGACTGATCGAGGTTGATACAGATCCTGAACGTTGCGCTTCAGGACAAGCCAGACGTTCTCGATTGGGTTTAAGTCGGGGGATTGAGCCGCCAGTCGATCTTGTCAATGTCGTAAGAACCGAGAAATTCACGGCTGGCGCGGGCGGTATGGACAGGGGCGTTGTCCTCCATCAAGCTCAGGCAGTGGTTGGGGTCGACATCCTCGAGGAACGGAATGAGGTGCCCTTTGTAAATGTTTTTGATGAAGTTTTCGGCTTTTCGTTGACCAGGAGGAACAATGGCAAGAGGGGCCCTGGTTTTGCTGAAAAAAGCGCCCCAGACCATCGTTGATTTCCTGCCGCTCTTGAAGGTTGGCACAAGGTTCTTGGGGTCGTATTTCGCATCCCGCTTGCGCCAAACGACCACTTGTTTCGATGATTTACCAATCTCAAACGAGGATTCATCGGTCCAGAGGATCTTTCGCCAGTCGTCAGGTGTCCAATCCTTGTGGTGTTTTGCAAACTGGAGTCGACATCGCCGGTGGGACTCGCTGAGGAAGGGCTTCTTGACCGCAACCCGGTTATTGAATCCCAGTTCATGGGCTCGACAACGTGTGGTTTTGGTTGAGATGGGGGTGGTCAGGAGGTCCTTCACCTCAGCCATCTTCATACGCGGATTCTCTTCAAGGACCTCCCGCAGCTGGCGAAGGTCCCGGTCATTGGTGATGCGAGGTCTTCCGCTTCTGGGGGCTGTCGCAACGGTACCGCGCTCGGCTGATCGAGCAATGATTGCGGAGATCGTTGTTCGCCCAATCCCAAGCCTCGATCCGATGGCAGTAGGCGTCATCCCAGCGTCCGACATCCCGACGATCTTTGCCTTCTGCTCAGTTGACAGGTGAGGCTTAGCATTCGGGTTTCGGACCATCTAGAAAAAAAGAGATACAGGTTAGTTTTTTTTTCATGAATACTAATAAGAAGGAAACCGACATTTATTGGTGATGGTCTGGTCGGTTGTTCCGAGGCGGCGAGGAAGTCGTTTGGGGTGATGAGGATCGATTCGGTGGGTGATTGGAGTGGTTGACCTTGTTGACCACTCCGATCACTTTGAATATGTCAAGCCAGTGCATCCCAGGTTCACCTGGGATGTCACCGGTTTGTACCCCAAGTTACCCCGCGCCAAAAATAACGGGGCACCCACTGTACATTTACATTACCAGTATGTACAATCAGGGTTCCTCGGTCCGAGTAAATACACCACGGGTGCACCCATTGGTTCCTGAGTCGTTCTCAAGAACCATTGGAGTTTTTGAGTCGTCTTCCAAACCAAATAGGTTCTGAAGACGACTCCCAAACCAATCTAAGGTTTGGACTCAAAAAACCTTAAAGCAAACGGTTTTCAAGTCGGCTTGAAAACTGGTGCAGTTCTGAGGTCGACTTAAAAACCCGTATTGGTTTTCAAGTCGACTTCAGAACTGCATCGGTTTTCAAGCCGACTTGAAAACCAGGCGGTTTTGAAGTCGGCTTGAAAACCAACTTCTCAAGTTCGTTCTCAAGCCGGCTTGAAAACCAACATGGTTTTTAAGTCGACTTGAAAACTTGGATGGTTTCTCCATCTCCCTAGCAATTTCTTGACTCTCCTCCTTTCTCCATCTCCCTAGCAATTTCTTGACTCTCCTCCTTTCTCCATCTCCCTAGCACTTTTGAAGTAGGGAAAGAGTGATCGATGATGTGTTTACATAGTCTAACCATCAAACTCGGACTTGCTAATGAAATGGCATCTGCAGATATTTTCAGACCGCACGATTGGAGGTAGACGAAATTTTGAGGTGGAGCAGTAAGTCTCGTTCCTGTTAGTTGTCCTCTTGCCAATTACATGCATTATCATTACATTGACTGCTTTTTACCTGTCGAACATGACCAAATTCACCTCAATCGATCACATTTCAAGTCAGTTATTCCTACTCTGCTTTTTGTGTCATCGTCATAGTTGTACGCACTTTGCTGAATCCTTTGAGCTCTTTTTTGCCGTTGATGTGAAATTGTCTTGCTTGGCCCAAGGTGGGCACTTAATCCCCCATTTGAGAACAAATTCAAACAAACATGCCTATGATTAGTGTTCATTGTTGTAGTCTTAACTTCGTCTTTCTGTGCTCATCTCTACCAAAGATAAGTTTGTATCATCGACCATTTTAGACATCATTTTCTCTGTTGGTTATCCTCTTTCTCTCTGGCTCTCATTTTTTTTATGTACCAAGATTATTTTTTATTATTATTTACCCGGAACGGAGCACCTGTCTCCATGAGCCCCTGAGAAATCCGCCCCCCCCCCTTCCATCTGGGAATGCGAGTTTACTGACCTGGATGCCCAGTTGTTTCTGGGATCAAGTTCCAGGCGTTCATTTCCAAGTCGACTTGAGAACGAGCTAAAATCGACCTGGCTGTGGTTCTGCAAACGTCCCCCATTCGGAAGACGTTTTGGACCAGGTTTACAAGTCGGCTGGGGACGGTTTTCAAGTCGCCTCCAGATCGACACATCAGAGGACGTTTCTGAGTCGGTTTGGAGGCGACAGCGATTCGGCTCCAAAACGCTCAGCTAGCCGCCTCTGAGTCGTCTTCCAGGCGCAAACGTGTAAACGTTATGGAGGCGTTTTCAGATTGCTGAGTGTGAGACGTTTGCCAGGCGTTCCACCCAGTCGTTTTGGAATCGTCTTCGTGCACCCGTGGTGTATGTACACCACAGGCTCACCCAAACGGCAGCTGGAGGTTTGCGGAGCCGTTTTTCTGATGGTTTCACCACCTGCAGTGGCAACCGTTGGAATCTGGTAATCATGTGTGTTTGGAAAACTGTTGGTCCAACCAAGCTGTTGGCCCACCGTTGGACAAGTGTTTTTCCGTTGGTTTACTCAAAAGACCCAAGGGGGTCTTCTCCCAGGGTACCCACCAGCAAAAGTAATGCACAGCAGCAGCAGCAGGACCATCGGCCACAGTAGCAACAACTGCCTGGTGGGCAGGGGGATACCCAGCCTGTTGCAATGGAAATGAACAATCTGCAAGTCCCATACAACATTGTTAGCAGCATGAGTTACTATGTTATCCATATACCAAGGCACAGCTGACCCGGGTTCAAGCCTGACCGTTGAACAAAGAAAAAGTAAAAAAATGACCAAGTCATTTTTGACTTTTTTTTTTTTTTTTTTTCTGGAACAATCTGCTTTGGGAGCTTGCCCTCAGTGGGTTCTCAGAAGACTGAATAATCATGTTTAAATAGTATTGGTTGGTCATTGGTTGACAAAGCAGGAGCCTAACAGTTGGCTTCAGTGCTGTGGTTTATGAAACCGGTTCACAGGAAATCGGTTGAACAACTGTTCAAACCACCAATTTTAAAATGGTTGAGTTTTTCCAACAGTTTTCTGGCATTTATCCAGTTGAAAAACTGGTCAAAAAGTGGAACTGTTGTGCAAATGGTCCTAATCAAAAAAAGTGGCCCGGTGGTGTAAGCCGAGAGCGGCGCACAAAGGAGACCAAGTTGAGACACCGACACTATCGGTTCAGAAGCTGTCAAGAAGAACAAAGCAAAGGAGTGGATGCTAGATCTTGTGATTTCCTTATCCAGAGCTGCAGGACTTCGCCACAGGTTGAACTTTTGCACTCGGCACCCACAACATTGCTATGTCGGGCTCGGGCTGCCACACACAATTTCGCAACCGGCGGTCATCGTGATGGCAGACGGCGAGCCTGCCACCCCCTGTTGCGTATAACAGGCGCACTCGATGAGTCATGTCTAACTCAACTCCCCTACCCCCCAGCCACCAACCGATTGCTACATAGTCTCATCAATTCCCCATCTATCGCTCAGGTCCAACTACCAAGCTGTTGGTGTGAACTTCCTCTTCAATATTTTGTATCGGCTAGACTGCTAATTGCTAACTAATCGCCTCCATCACCCATCCAAACCAGTTCATCAGAATCGTACACAATCGACATTCGATCATATCTAAACGCCATGCCACCAGCACGCCGTTCCCAACGCATTCTCCAGCGTTCGAACGCAGACTCCCTGGTGGAGAGATCCAAACGCATCAATATTCATGATGTCCTACACGAGGATTTCCTAACCTTTGCTCAGAGTGTTCCACGTATGTAACGCTGGTTCTTCTTGGTTGAGCTATTTCTTCAACAGGATGCTGATGCTGTCCTGAATCCTTGTGTGCTGTGCAGCTCATCTTGCCGACAAATACTTGACCATCCTAGAGGAGATTTTCAAGCACTGCGAGCCAAAGCGCACAAAGTCGATGGGCGACATTGGGGTGTCCAGGCTCATAGTATTTTGGGCCTCGGGGAAGGTGGTCCTGACATGGAAACAAGTTATTTCGGTTCTTAAGATTCAAAAAAATCAATCATTACAAAAAAAATTCGTTCAGCTCGCTTTCCTCAGACGTTACCCAGATTACTATGAAAATGACAAAATCGATCATCAAGCAAGAGTTGCCATTATAGATGATACCTTGGACCACGGCCTCGCCCGTTTGCAAAGCGCGACTGAGCCTAACATACTGCCCCTCGATGTCATTCGAAAAGGCTTTCTCTCTGATTATATCGGACGCGATGAAATCGTCACCCCGATCCTCAGCACCCTCAACGAGCACGCAACATCATGGACACCAGAGGAATATCACGCGCCCTGTACATCTATCATCGGGCCAACGATGGCCGGCAAAACACGCTTGCTGATGGAACTGGCAGATGAAATTTGTGTAGTCTACATTTGTCTCCGTCCCCCAACTTCCATCGGGGAACCAAAACGATCCCAGCTTGCAACCGAAATGCTCAAGCCACCCCCCTGCACAGATCTTGAAACTTACTATGTCGACCTCATCACTGCAATCCTATCTGTCACCATCAAATTTTTTCAGTCTGCCTCAAAAACAAAGGATCGCAAAGAATTATTGCGAGCATGGTACCAGCACCACAATTCACCCAAGACAAAATTCTACTCAAACGTCCAATCGGAATTAAGAAGATTGACCAGCAAGAATGATACACTCCGCCAGCTTGACCTCGCAGCTGAAAGACTCGGGAAGACCCACGTCCTGGAAAGCTCTCCGTTGAAGGTATTACTGGCAATCGACGAGGCTAACTCCTTGTTCGACGAGCGGGGTACTCAAACAGATTCACATGGAAAACAGAGTCAAGAGCTGCCCCTTAGCCATTTTTTTCGCCGCGCTTTGAGACATGTGCCAAGCATGTCTGGTATTTTTGCTATCCTAGTCGACTCAGATTCCCGTGTCGCCAATTTCAACCCAAGTGCAAGAATCGAAGTTCTACCCACCAATCGACCCATAGGCGTCCGCGCCCAACCGTCCAAGATGTACCCCGATATCTACGAATTGCGCACCATTGACCGGATGGCCCCTGCCAACCCACCAAGAAGATGGGCGCAATTGTTCTCGCCTGAGCGCCTTTGTAAATACGGGGTTCCGTTCTTCAGTTTACAGTTAACTCTTGCGGTAGAAGATGGCAGGGCGCTAGACCCCACTAAAGCTGTTCATGTAGTGGCTGGAGTTGCTTTGAACAAACTTCTCTGCGCCCCAATGGCGGGCCCCCGTGAATTAACCGAATCTCGGGCACTTGCCTTACTAGGTCCAACGATCGGTGTTCCTCTACATGGCCAGGCGCGTCTAAATGCTCAGCTCATGGCATCTCATGCGGCGCATTGCGGCTACATCGATGCCGAGCGCCATTGTCATTACAGCTTCTATCCGTCACAGCCGATATACGCACTAGCTGCCAACCACTATCTTCTGGAAAATGAGGAGGTGCTTATAATGTGTATCAATTTTCTAACTGGCGTCTTATCCGAAGATCACATGAGCGCGGGAGATGTTGGCGAAATTGCAAGCAGAATCATTCTACTTTGCGCCATGAACAAAACTGCAGCTGATATTAAGACTGCAAAGCAATCCTCGGCCAATCCTAGAAGCGTGGGACGCATATCGATTCCCGATCCGGTTCCAGTCATCAAATTCCTGGAGACTCTTACCGGATTATCTGCACACGAGCTACCTCTTGGTTCAATCGATGCCGATCACAAGCACAAATTGCTAGAACAGGGAATGATGTTCTGGAATCATTTCATGCATTGCTTGGAGAGGCCGACGACTGAATCGTTGCTTGAATGTCTGCAAAGAGGATTAGCTTTACACAGTCAGCCTAGCCAAGAAGTTTTTGACCAAGTCTTGACAATCTACTTGAAAGAACAATCTGAAGATAAGTTGGATGAAGCGAATGTCACATTCTGTGGCATACGGGCCAGAAACCGAAAGCACGACTTCGAGTTGAACACTTCCCAGCAAATCATGAACCCCGAAACAGCCAAGATCGACATGAAAGAAAAAAGCAACCCCTACCTCTCACTGTACTTTACCTTTCAAGACACTCCCCTCATAGAGGAAAATCCCATCAGAAGGGATGACTACGAATTGCCTTCTCATGGACCACCAGATGGCCGGCAGGCGTCCTTAGTATTCTATGGACTCGATTCATTTCACTTCCTCAGTCCCGGATTGAAGAACGCCTTGAAAGAACTCATCAATATTCGCCCGGACCCTGTTTCGCGAAGCCGAAAACGTAAAGCAGGGGAAGAATACGCGACAGACTTTTTGCTGCGCGCTGATGCTCGTCGCCTCATATAATGGTTTGTCATTCTCTCCGCATTCCTGCCACATCGAAATGAGTTTTTAATGATGTTATTGCTTTTGTTGTCTCTTTAGTTTTTGATCTCTATCTTTCCATCTATTTTTGCGTCCTCATTCGTCACATCTTCATGTGATTGTAAGGTTTCTTGACTGCGCTCCTACATATTTCCCATTTCCCATTGCCATCCCGGTTATTTTCAAAGTCTAATTCAACTACTCAGTACTGTCTGGCCAAAACATGATTGTAGCTTCTTGATTACTTGTAGACCAGCCCTTTCTTTGAAGTCATAACAGATCCAACACTCAAACTTGTCAAACATTAGCTGATCTGTAACAAAAATCTAAAATAGGAATATAAAATTGAATTTATTGATTTGTGCATTCGTATTGAAGTTTGACTCCAATGTTAAAAAGCGCGACACCTTCTACGGCTCTCTCATGCTATTCTCTCAGTTATCCGTAGACATTTTTGGTCTTCGTTTTGTTTATGTACATGGTTTCTGGCTGGTTGAGGTTGAGTACCGTGTGGTGAAATAGGGTGAAAAGTGCTTTTTATAACTTGGTGCCTCCGTTCACTGGAGTACACAGTGAGCAACGAACTTAAAAGTCAAGTGCCTTCGAGGGCGACATACAAAGGAGGGACTAGAGTTCAGTTGGAGAGCATGTATGGCTCAAGCAAGTGTTTGTGGCAAGTCCTCTATGTCGGCTCTTCAATTTGGCCAGGTGATCAGATTGAGTGAAGGGGATGATCCGCGCCGAGAGTCGACCCAAATCACCTCATCCGAAGCTGAATACATCCCCGATGGTCCGGCACGCTCATGGCATGGTTCACATACCTGTGACCTTGCGGTTGATATTAGGGCAGATCAAAGGATCCGCCAATCTCAAGGAACTATGTATCTCTATGCCGCATGAGACCATGTTCCGATGAACGTGACTGGCTCTCCCCAATGAGCATCGGAGTGCTCTCAGCTGAGCAAGCCGATAGAACACTGGGCTCGGTTCAAGCAAAACATAGACCAGCCGAGCTCAAGCTGGAAAGCATTAAAGTGTGGCCTTCCATGGAACCTGCCAGCCAACTCCCCTCCAGACCACCCCATCCTATACGCTGATAAGCCGAAGTTTGCCAGTCAAACACCATCGACCTGTACCCCAAAACGCCCTCCAGCAGCGTCCCTCGAGAAGCTCCAGCCCCACATACATACTCCCCTTTCCCTGCGCAACCTATCTCGAATATCCACCCAGATAATTCACCATAATTCGCCATGGGTTTCAAACGTTTATCTGTTTCTGCTCTGATTGTCGCCTTGGCCTTGGCCAATGTCGCGCTTGGAGCCCCAGTTCCTAATCACATCTCCGGTGCTTCACATGAATCCCACTTGGCTTCTTCAGCGCAGTCGCTCAGCTCGGCTCATGATCATGAGACACGCTCTCTTAAGCTTGTCGCGCGAGACCAGGACACCAACAACGTGAGCTCTTCTGGTTCTTTCCGCCTGCACGAGGCACAAGTCTGTTCAGGTCGTCTAACCTTTCCGCCCAAACTGAGACTAACAAATACGTGTACATGCCCGTTTCCCGTTTAGAAGACGAAGGAAACTGACACGGCCGCTACCAAGCAAGCCGACGGCCAAGCCATTAGTCAGGACAACGTAAGTTTATGTCGCTTCTTTCATTTCGGCTCGAATCTAGAGGCTTCCGAAGCGCCCGGCTGACAATTCTGCCTACACGGGTCTGTCGTCGATGTTGCAGAAGAAGGAGAGTGGCATGAACCAGAATGCCCATTCCGATCAGCAGAATGAGAAAACACAGGATGCTAAGGTTTGCAGACAGCATTGAATTTCGCTCCGCTCGCCTTCGTCTCACTAATTTGAGTCACACCCAATAATTAGCTATCCGGAGCCGATCCCAAAGACGGGCAAGCTGCGAAAGGCAATCTGAACGCCAAGGTAGCCGACAAGAACATCGAGCCTAAAGTTGGTCAACCGAACACCGAAGACCACGGCGAGGAAAGCGAGTCCAAGCCAGCTGACTCCAAGCTTCAGGCCCAGGGCACCGAGCAACATGGTGAAGGCCAGAAGGACCCAAAAGCCGCCGAGAACAAGCCCGCTCAGAACAAAGCTGAAAACAAGGCAACCGCCGATCCGAAATCGATCCAGCCATCCGCCGAAGAAAAGTCTAACACTGTCGCCGAATCGAACCCACCCACAGCCGACACCAAGCATGAAACTGGGCAACAATCTGCGGGAGAGGCATCAAAGTCACACGATGAAGCTAAAGGAAATCAACATACTCCTGAGAATAAGCCCAACCTGAACACCAAGCCTGCTGAAGATCATTCGGCCACGGAGAAGGCGGCCCCACCGACTGTCGAGAATCATCCCGGTGCGGATGCCCAAAGCGCACCATCAGCTCCAGAAAAATCGAACCCGGAAGCGAAAGGAACCCACCCAGCTTCCCCAGAGAGCAAGCCAGCCGCCGATGCCAAAGCAGCTCCCCCCTCTCCTGAAAGCAAGCCCACCGACACCAAAGCCGCCCCGCCAACCGCAGCAAATAATGCAGGCGCAGAGGCAAAAGCCAACCCAGCTGCTGCTGACAAGTCGATTCCGGAATCAAAAGCCCACTCGCCTAATACCGAAAACAAGCCGGCCGAAAACAAGGCAGCCGCCGATCCAAAAGCGCCCTCTCCAGCGAGCAAGCCGACTGACGCCAAAGCCTCCCCACCAACCGCCGCAAATAGTGCAGGCGCAGAGGCAAAAGCCAACCCTGCTGCTACTGCTGCTGCTGCTGATAAGTCAAATCCAGAAGCGAAAGGCAACGCACCGCATCCCGAGAATAACAAGCCGGCCGAAAACAAGGCAAGCACGGAGGCCAAAGTAACCCCGCCAGCTCCTGAATCGAATCCAAAACCAGAAGCTAAAGCTGCGCCTCAAAATGCGGATAATAGCATTAAAGTGAACGCGGACGCCAAGAATGCTCCTTCAACTGCAAACAAGCCGTCCAACACTGACGCTAAAGCCAGCCCACCAGCTCCTGAAAGCAAGCCAGCTGCCGACACCAAAGCCACTTCGGCAACCACTGAAAGCAAGTCCAACACGGACCCCAAATCGAACCCTCAGACTACCCAAAGTAGTAAGACTTCTGACCCCGATACCAAGGCCGCTTCTTCTGCTGATCATCAGCAGAATATCGACCCTAAACTCGTCCAATCTAACCCTGAAACTAAGTCCCTTCAGCCTAACAATACCCCCGCTGGTGCTCTGAACGCTCAAATTCACTAAAAATGGAGAGATGAAGACTTTCGATTTTTACTTTTTTTGTTTTCTCTTCGTATATCTTTTCGTTAGGATTTGTTAGTCTTGCTCAGTCGAAATTTGTTTGTAATGTATTATCCATCTCTCGCTCTCCTAGTCCTTGTTTGTCTTGTCTTGCCTCTCAGCTTATCTTGTCTGTCCATTCAATCTCTCACTCGATCCATAGTTGTTCTCCTGGAGCGGTGTCTCCCTGATCGTTAGCTTGTTGTTTGTTCTAACTTGAGTAGTATAAATCAATATCCATCCCAACTCTTTATCAAGTCCAATTCTAGAGCCATCTGTCCCAATGATCACTACCGATGCTCCTTGGGTATGGCTCTCGTCTACGGGAGGTTTATTTATGAGATTGTACTATTTTATATAAAAGATGTTGTCCCCTGCATGCCATCAGTGCTCAAGGCAAGTCTCGAGCTGCTCAGTAATGTGCTCAGCAGTGAGAGAGCCCTCGGATGGGGTCGATGCGGCGATTTGGACTTGAGACCCAGGAGCGCGGCCGGGTCGCGAGTCACGCTCAACTCGAACCAACTCAGCAGGCTCACCAACAATCTTCAGGAAACATCGTAACATCACATTTCGAAGTCTCGGACACCCACCCCCATCTTGCGAACGGCCAATACGTCCACTGGTGGCAACCGGAGGTTCGACACAATGAGCGTGTTGTTTGAAGTTGGTCTTTTTTTTTCGTTCGAAATTCATGATTAGTAAGGCTAAAAGCTACGATACTTTCTTTTTGAATAGACCAGCTTAGGGGATCTAGTCGTCGATCTAGAGGTCGAATTGTGCCCGAAAACGAGCGAAAATTTCCTGAAACTATGCAAGATTTATTACTACAATTTCTGCTCATTTTTTAACGGTTGGTGTCCTCCTCCGGATCGATTAATTGATACATAGTAACATCAAAGATAAAAGTTTTCGTTTTCTTCCAAAGGACTAATATATGTTTTGAACGATTATTAATTATCGTAGTACAGAAAGACTTCATTGCTCAAACCGGAGATCCCACTGATCTTGGAACCGGTGGCGAATCTATATATGCCCGACTCGAACGAAGTGATTCGCATCCAGACTATGGCAACCGGTACTTCAGATCAGAACTAGCGACCCAAAAGGCGCACAAGTCGCTCAATCATGGTCGACGCGGGACGCTGGCGATGGCCGTCTCCGAAGGGAAGTGTGCGAGCCAATTCTTCTTCACGCTTGCGGACGGACTGAACGAGCTAGATGGCAAGCATGTGGTCTTTGGCCGACTGGTTGAAGGCTTCGAGACCTTGGAGCAGATCAACAATGCCTTGGTTGATGACCAGGGTCGGCCACTACGAGACATCCGATTACGACACGTGATCGTCCTCGACGACCCCTTCGACGACCCACCCGGGATCCTTATTCCTCCCCAATCACCAGCCGAGCCTTCGAGCCATCAGGGGAAAGTGCTTCGCGTCGGGGACGACGAAGAACTCGACCAAGAGCTCGATCCGGAGGTGGTCGAAGAACGGCGGCGGGAGCGGGAAGCTCGAGCTCAAGCGCTGACGCTCGAGATGGTCGGTGATCTACCCTTCGCCGAGGTCGCCCCTCCCGAAAACATCCTCTTCGTTTGCAAACTCAACTCGATCACTCGCTCCGAGGACCTCGAATTGATCTTCAGTCGCTTCGGAACTATCCTGAGCTGCGAAGTCATCAAAGACGCCAAGACCGGCGACAGCCTTCAGTATGCATTTATTGAATTCGATCAACGTGAAGATGCTGAACGGGCGTACTTCAAAATGGATGGCGTCCTGATCGATGATCGTAGGATCCACGTTGATTTCTCACAATCAGTATCCAAACTGTGAGTTAGTGACACCGACCCATCATCCAAACGGAACTTTCTTCACAACCTAACCTTAGATTATGTTTCTTTCTTTTTCATACTTCACTAGACATTCGGATTGGATTTTCAAGAGGACAGGGAAACGAGTGAAGCCGAACCAGACCTACGAACAGCGCCCCAAGAAACGGCAGCCCTCGGAAAGATCTCCACCACGTGCAAGGCGTGATTCGAAGTATGAGATGTCATTTGATGACGCCGATCTGATAGAGCGTTCTGCGCGACGTTCTGACCATCGAAGACACGATGATCGACGCCCACATTCCAGCAGGGACCATAGATCCAATCATCGTCAAGATTCCAGAGCCCATCATGACTCCAGACACGATCATAGCAGACGTCGATCTAGAAGCCCCGCCCGCAGACACCGGTAGCAACACTCATCTCCCCTCCCCCTCACTTGTTCGTTATCTCCAGGTGATCCCACAAGACAGCGTTCATCCATCGCATTCAGTTCTCAGTGAAACCGATAAATCTCCAATCCAAATAGAGGCATCGGATGGCTTTGCGGCAAATTGTGCCCACCTGCCACAAACCTTCGGGAAACCCACCCCGATTTATTTTCTTATTTTACCGTTTGAATGGATTGTGTCGCAACGTCCTCGGACAAAAAAAAGAACGTTTTTTTGCCAGGAACATCATATTCCGATCGCGCGCCTAACTTCTCAAGTGACAATGAGACCAAAACTGATATGCTTGCTTTATTTACACGTCCGCAAAAAAATCACTTGTACCGGCTCTTGTTGTATGTTTACCAAACGCCTCCGCCAATTCCTGAAAGAAAAAAAAAGCATTCATCCAAATCTACTACTGAGGGATGTGGAAATGACGCCCCCTGGTTTTCAGTGGGGAGTGGGTTATTCTCGGGCAGTGTGTCCATGCTTTCTTCTCTCCGATGTAATCTATGGACATCGCTTTGGACTCAGGATCATCTCTGATGTGAGACTATTTCGTGAGCACGAAAGAGTAAAGATGTACTAGAACATGTAGATCTACTTGACTTGTGCAGTGAAAGCGTCATTTGAATCACAAGAATCATGGTATGCTAAAGCCCCAGCCTTCAATCAAAGGGATTTGTTCGTCAGATAGGCTGGCCCTGATCATAATTTAGTCGAGGTGGATGATTGGACTCGAGTTGAGCAGTTCATGACATGATGGAGGCTTCCATTTCTGAAAAACAATTCCTGTGAAGTTTCTGTTTAAGTCGTTCTGAGTTCTCATATTGTTGATATTGAATTGTTAAAGAATCAATGTACATACGTCACCAGTAAAAGGAGGCGACGCCGTTTGATATGTAGCTATTGTGTTTCTCAAATACCTTGGACCGATTTCATTTTTTTTGTTCCCCAACTATGTATTTATGCCCAAAATTTGGGCTTTTTTTTGCACATGTATGAGAAATTTGGAAGAATACCGATCTCCTCACGTACCACATGTATTTATGCCATGAGATAAATGCGATGGCTGTATCTTCTTAATACTCCTGGCTAACGCAATCAAGTGGAATCTCGGGATAGGATCAGACTCTCGTCACTATCCCTGTGCCTGGGGATTTACCGTCTCATCTGTCGGCCCGAAACGACACAGAATTCAAATCAGCCGAGGATGCCTTACGTTTACTATCCAGCAGCGATCAAGGTGGTTGTGGTCCGAATGTCACTGCAGGGCCACTCACTGCCCAACATCCGAACTACACTGGGCTATACCGTTTCCCGCCAATCCCTCAATCGTTGGAGGGAGCTCTTTGAAGATACCCGATGCGTCATTCGTGACCCAGATTCGTACGAACAGCAAGGTCGGATCAAGTGCCTGTCATCTGAAGATTGCGAGTTTATGATTACAATGTTGAAGGACGAGCCAGGACTTTTCTTGGACGAGATTCGCGAGAAATTGTACGATGGCACCGGGGTGCTTCTAAGCATTCAGGCGGTTCACAACAACCTTGTGAACAAGCTGGCTATAACGCTGAAGAAGGCCGAGACCCTCAACATCAAAAAGTGCCTGGTGAAGAAGTTTGCATACATTGAAATGATGCAATTCTTCCCCGCAGAGTTCTTGGTATTCACCGGTGAGTGAATCTTCCTCATGACTGATCGTCCGGGTTGACTGTTGAGCTGACCAGTGTTTGTATTTCAGATGAGAGTGCGATCTGTGATCGCGAGCTGCTTCGGACGTTTGCAAGATCGGCGAGGGGGAGTCCATCTTCTAGGTACATTGTCAGACAAAACCCTGATCGACTCAGCATCCTCCCAGCTATTGGTATGAACGGCGTGCTGGCCCTCACGGTGCGAGAGGACACCTTCAACTCGAAGAAGTTTGAACACTTTTTAAAGTGGGATTTGGTATGTGTAAATTTCCCTGTTCTGTGATTTACAATCACCTAAGGCCACAACTGATGTTGTTTGTTCAGCTGCCACGGATGAATCCGTACCCAGGGCCTAATTCGGTGCTAGTGTGTGATAATGCGAGGATTCATAAACACAGCCGGGTTCGCCGCCTGTGTGACGAGGCATCAGTACGAGTGATCTACCTGCCACCATACTGCCCTGAGTTAAACCCGATTGAGCTTTGCTTCGCTCAGTTGAAGAACCGCCTCCGGAGAAGTAAATTGCTCTCATACACATACGAGGCGAACTGGGAAATTCGCTCGCTTTTTACAGAACTTATCACATCTCAATTCTGCTATAATATCTACCGCCACTGTGGTTATCACATGCCTGCTTTTCAATAATTAGACTGTCTAGTTTAGGAAATGAAATCAACATCACTATGTTTCTATCTAATATGTCTGCTCGTCCAAGTATTTCCGGTATGCAGGTACATTTAAGCTGAGAATGGCAATGAGCCCGGATGGAATTGCATATCTGGGGTTTTGCAGTTGGCTGAGAACTATTGCCGACTCAAACAGCTCATATCGGTCAATGTGCTGTTCAATGAGGACATGGCCTAAGCAGGCATCGATCACCGCAGGAGAGATGTGACAGTAGTCAAAGAAATCATTAATAGGCACCGGTGGGTTGGGCCAGGTGCCGGTCCGCTGGGGTTCTTTGATGGTAGGTCGGTTCTCTAGATTGGGTCTGATCGGGCTGTCAATTTGATCCATAGAGGCAGCCTGTGAACCAATCACAATCCAAATCTCAGCTATATTCGGGCTGAGGTGTCTTAGGAAAACGACTCACAAGGTTATGCACAAGTGCCGGTTCCTGTGATGGACGGTCCTGGCCAACCATGACCGTCCCCTTGCCTCTGGTTGTGATCCTGAGGCCCCAAGCCCACTGCTTGAATAAGGCCGGATCGGTGGTCGGCATTGCAGTGTACTTGCGAAATAAGCTGGCCTCGTTGTTTTCGATCTTGAGGGACCAGTGAAGCTGAGGTTGTGAGGATGCCAAGTCCGCATGGATCCGCTTGTGGAAGTGGGAATGCTCCTGGCCGATGCGACTGATGACAACCGATTTGAATTCTTCAAAGGTAGTCTTACGTGTGTTGATTGTGATGGAACATCCTTTGGGCTGTTCACACCGCCTTGCGTCGGGGTCGCCACTGCCATACCGGTACAAGATGTACTCAATGTTGATGTGGGCCTCGTCTTGAGCCTCGGTTTGTCTTTTGAGAGGGAAATCCATGATGTAGGATGGTGGTGTGTAAGGCTGAGGACAACTGATTTTATGATCAGCCATGATGATGGAGTTGAGTTAGCCGCTCCGATATTGTTGAGTGTGAACTTGGCAGATACAACTGCTGGAGGACCGACCGAGGGTTGCCCCTTTGGGACCCCTCAATCTGGACACCTGGATTAGTATCATGGGGCCCCCAAGGCTTTATGTTCACTGGGCCTGGTCACCTTGGCACATGACTTGTGGCCCATGGGAATGGCTAACTCAAATGCGGACGAGTGGAAAGCCATCAGACTAGTGGGAGGCAATTGCACATCTCCAATTCGGACAAGTAGCAAGATATGGGATATTGAAAAAATGATCATGTTATGAGTGAGGAACACAAGATGCAGGGAAGTGTATTGACAAATCACACATCCACAAAGAAAACAATTTGTGAGGACTCCGGTACATGAAGTAGCATTGGGGACAAGGAAACAAGAGACACATGTTTCTAAGCGCCTAGGTGCCGGTCAAACTTGGCAGTATTCTCAAACAACTTGGTCACCGTGCCAAGCGTCAACCCAAGGTCCATGACATCCTTGCGGGGTAATCCGCCCTTGAAGATCTTGTAGGATGTGAGGTCGTTAGCGGTTAGGACTTCAAGGACTTCATCCTTGTTGCGAACCGAGATGAATTCCAGGTAAGCTTCCATGTCACTCTCGTTGGGGGGAGAGGAAGTTGGCATCGCGTGACGTTCGATCGGCGTACCCGCATTATTTTGGAGTGCCACGAGGATCTGGCCCAAGAGGTTGACGTTATCGTTCCCAACTGTCTGCTCAAACTTGGCCCGCTTCGATGGGGACATAGTGATGTACTTGAGGGACCGGGGGGGCGCTTGAAGACTCACCCCTGCGGTCCTTTCCATCTAAGATCGGACGAACACCCAGAAGTCTTCAGTCTCTGACCAACGATGAACAATGGCAAATGGACATACCAGATCTTTTGCCCAAGTCTGCACCGCCGCCGTCGATAAGAGGATGTACCTTCGCGGGTTGGTAGGGTCGATGTAAACCGGGATGAGCCGATCATAAGTCACATTGGTCGGATGGGCCCGGTAGATTGATCGCATGTGGAAGTTGATGTCGTCAAAATCATCAGCATCAATCTCAGAGCCCGAGTTGTCGGTATCCGAGCTGACTTCCGAATACGCTCCATCGGGTCCGCCCCCACCTCCGCCGCCCCCGCCGCTGTCGCCACCACCACCACCGTCTCCCCCACCACCGCTCCCTCCACGACCATTCTTCGCCTTGCGTTTCTTGGAAGCCGACGCCTTAACCGCCGCAGCTCGGGCCTCTCGCTTTGCAAGGAGGTCCTCTTTCTTGGCCCGTCGTTTAGCCTCGGCGGGGTCGGTCATCCTGATGTCCAAGCCAACGCTCTTCTTCCCCGCCCGGAAAGCAGTAACAAGCCAGTCTTGATAGTCGGAAGCATCCTTCATCTTGACCTTGTCGCTCTTCTTCCATTCGTCAACCCGAGGGATGCTTACCAACCACGCCAAGGGCATGCGAACTGGATCCTCGATGGATTCGCGAATGATCCCACCTGTGCTCTTAAAATGAAGGTTGCAAGCCGCTGCCACAAGCTCTCTGAACTGATCGAAATCGGTCACACCCAACGTTACATCGACCGGAAATTCAGAAGTCGAGCCGCATGGGACCCAGGTCTTTTCCTTTTTCTTGTTTTTGGAGACGACATATAGCTTAAAAGCGACCAAAACCTTCACGAGTTTTCCCTGCCAGCCGAGAGCAAGTGCCTGTCAGTCATAAGCAAGACAATAAAGATGGTCATTCGTGGACTAACTTTGTAACCTGGGATGTCATCAACCCTCAATTGGGTCTGACCGTCCGGGGTGTTGCTGCGCGTATCAATGTGAGGCAGGTCCAACTCAGGGGAATCAGGCAAGATTGTTGAGGGAAGGCTGGGGTAAGCGTTTGTTGTCGTGGGGGTCTCGAGGCCGAATGGGTTGACATAGTAAGTGGGCATTATGGTCAGTTGAAAAATGGACCAAGGAAATAAGGGTAAGAAATAAACTGGGGTTGGTTGGTAAATTGGGTACTGCAGATGGATGGATGGGAGGTTGACACGATGGCAAGAAAAAATGGTAGGGGGGGGGGAGTCGGGACAGACCAATCGGTTTCCCATCTGTATCTTTTGTCCGACGGAGCCGGAGTACAGTGTGCCTGTACTGACTATGCCTCCGATGACCTTGGATTACCACCGAATAATATATGGGTGGATATTCTGAATCCACACTCATATTTGGGATACCCCATATGCATAAAAAATTGATAACATAAAATCAAAAAAATCAGATCGGTCCAAGGTATTTGAGAAACACAATATGTTGCCCAACAAGAACCACCAAGTCAACTTCTGATTCGCACACAGAGGAGTTTCCGAGTGAGTACATACATCTCGGTTTCACCATCCATTTCCTCTCTTGAGTCAAGCTTGATATCTGATAATGGTCCTGTTCTTCCCCTGCAGGAAAGATACGCACTGGACGGTCAACACACCAGAATCAAGGACGAGAGGATCGATCGTTGAGAGATCTAGGTTGCGACATCTTAATTGGGGAGATCAGAGAAGAAGCAATCGATGTACTGGCCCACAGGTTCTGCTTCAAGACTGTCACACTCAAGCACTCTGACGACTGTACCCAAGCCAGGAAGGAGCAGTACAAGCACATCCAAAACAACTAAACATCATCATCAAGCTAGCGACAGCCACCGGACTAATTATGATAAGAGGAGGGACACCCATGCATATCGTCCGGGAGAGCTCATCGGAATCGAGGCTTGTTCGACTACCCCTCAAGCACCCATCGGACTCTTTGCTACTTGGACGACCACCGAATTGACCATCTGGAATCCAAAACCCAAGATCGCTCTCTCCAAACTGATCAGACCTCACGATAGTCTGTCAAGATTAGGCCAGACTAAAGATGTCAAATGGAAGCCGGACCAAACCGAGCACACACTGATCATTTGGGTTAGACTTCCCTCCTTCCTCTAATAATGATACCCTTAACAGATCAATTGATAGTTATGTTTCCTCTTTGGCGGCTGTCTTTATTCCAGACAGTCAAGTCAGCCTTGATTATCTATAAACTGGAAGCCCTACCGAAGTCGACTGCGGTCTACAACCTGCCCCCTGATCAGTCTGAATCTTTCCTCTCAACCGGGCCTGCAGACCGGATCCCGTTCCCCAGGTTGGCCCTCAAGTTCGTTGGCGAAATCCCACCAACCGATCCTACAGAGGAAATCAGTTGGTTTGTGTCTCCTCTCTCCACCTCTACATTTCCCTTCCTCTCTTCACATTCATGATGCGCTGTTGAGCAGGTTTTTTTTTCCTGTTCCATCCGTCTTTGTTACGTTTTATCGCCATGACAGTCTTGCGCTCACTCCCTCCCACATCTTAATCGGACTCGCGAACCCTATTCCTCAATTGAAAATTCTTTCCTGGTCCTCAATCCGCTCCTTCTTTTCATCAGATCATCGTGCTGATCACCACTACCATCATAATCGGCAAGGCCGAAATTCCAAATCAAATTTGTTTGTACAACCTTTACATCAAAATCTCTTGTCGGGTTTTGATTGGCTGATAGATAAATCAGGTTAGTTTTTTTTCTCCTTCTTTTCTTGAACGACTTTTGGGTATTGTTTATCCATCTAAAACAAGTCCCTTTACAGAGATAGACCAACCGAGATAACGTTCTAAAAATGATAAAAAGACGGATTGCTAAAATGATGTGATGGATATTCCTAGTGACCTTCCTTTCGATAACGTATTCCAGCGACCTGAATGTCTACATCTTTGTGACCTCAGATGGCCGAGCGTATATTGCCCATATGATATACGCTCAGCCACCTCGTCGACCAATGAGGCTAAGCGGGGATGAGGAGGTACGGTGGATGGGCAGTTGCTTCCATGATCCGGTCGAGCGGCTTGGCCACCTTCCCGCAACCGGTGCATGTGCTATCAACTTCCGATTCAGTTTAGTGGCCGTCGGAGTGCAAAAGTAAGTAGACCATCTGAACCATCGTCTTCAGGCCTTTGTCTTCATTTGTGTGTCATTCTCAAGTTTCGTCTTACCGTTTCCTTGTTGTGTGGGGTGTGATGGGCGGTTTAGCGGGATCGTGGATGTGTATAGTTTGAGCGGATCGGCTCTTCTTACCAATTATTCGCATTCATTGAATCCACAGGTGAATCATCACGACAACAAGCAATTGGGGGGAAAGGCTCAACAAAACGGGCAAGTCGTGAACACATGTGCATGGTATGTTATGTATCTGTTTCCTTTTTTCCTTGCAACCGATGTTCACACATCCATACATATACAGGACTTCTGATGGACATGCGTTAGCCGTCTCGGGGTCAAGTGGATTGTCGGTTTGGTCGGTCTTTGGCCGACTACAGACTTGTTGTGATTCGGCGACAATCTCTGAGACAAACTTGCACGAAATTCAGTTTGAAGATTATTTCATGGGCTCGTGTCGGAGTCTAGTTGAGTAGTTTTTGGTTTTACAAGACGAGCGAGATATGCACACCACTTACTTTCTTGATGAGGTTGTTAGTTTTGGGGGCCTGGAAATTTCGAGCTCTTCCTCCTGACCGCTCCGTCGGAGTCTTCAACTCGGTACATCGCCGACGACCAGCTGTTCGTGTTGCCTTTTGCCAAAAGCGCAGTTGCAACATTGCATTCGCCGGTGAGTCTTTTTTGGCCGATCTGCCAAGGCATCTAGAAGCAAATGATGCAGTTCTTTATGATCTGATCCTCTCATGTGAGGTTCTTCTTTTGAAGGACAATACGAAGCATGGATTTCTACAATTAGACGACCGAGTATCAGTCTATCGGGGAGCAGATTGTCCGGATCTCTCGGTAATCAATCCCGAGTCGGATGTCTGGCAACACATCAAGATCCCCGCGGATTATATCAGCACCAACTGGCCGATCGAGTGTAGCTGTATCTCAGAAGACGGGAAGTTATTGGCCGTGGCAGGGAAACGTGGGTTCACCCATTTCAACTCGGTCTCTGGTAGATGGAAGCTCTTCGAAAACGAGGATGAGGAACAGGCTATTCATGTCAGAGGTGGCATGCAATGGTTCGAAAATGTTTTGGTCACCGGTATTGATGAGGCTGGATCATATTCGGTAAATCTTGGCTTTTCTCTCAAAGCAGCCCTCGCCGTGGCTTTCGCGTCCATTAAGTCAAAATAGTCACCATTTTCTTTAAATCACTTTTTTTTCGTTTGAGACATTAGATTCGACTGTTTGCACGAGAGAACACGTTGAGCCTATCCCAATGTTTATTCGAGCATCCATTAGAACATCCGATTGTTTTGTTATCAATACATGATACATCACTGCTCATCTACACCTCGGACAACACGCTTTCGCACTTCATAATCAAAGACCAAGGGTTGATCCAATGTGGAAGCATCGGATTTGAAGGGATTGTCGGGAATCCATTGCGGGTGCGAGGGATGTCATGGCTGGTGCCGGATGCGCAGCACTGTTTTGGGGAGCCGGAGAACGATTTAGACTATGCTACGATCGTCCTTCTGGTTGGAGGCAAGGTGGTCCTACTGCGCCCCCAACGCTCCGAGCGGGCTGAGGTCAAGTACGACATGCACATCCTCGCCGACCATGTGGAGTTCTATTGGGCCGGTAGACAGTTCACAAATCATGATGAGCTTGGCTTGTTAGAAAACTCCCTCTGGGCTTGGGACGGCAAACAGATCGTCGTTTGGCTCGATGCTCTTGCTCTTGATGGCGACAATTTTCCCGGAAGAGAAAAGATTGCGTCGGGAGACAAATGCCAACCTCTTGAGAGTAGACTGACTATCCCACTTAACTTCCATCCCCTCTGTGAGTTTTTATTATCTCTTATATATATATCCTGATCACTTGATGTTATACAGTTCTTGATGACATATGATTTCTTCAATAATTCCAGCTGTCTTGATGGATAAAGGCATCTTTATTGGAATCGAACAAAAAACTGTTATCAAAAAGTCACTCAGTTTTGCTTTGTTCAGGATCATGACCAATGTCAGTCATCTTGAAATAAATGATAAACCTGTCTGACAACCAAGAAGAAACTCACTATCTTTTTCAATTTTTTTGGACACATGACGATGCTCACGGGGAAAAAAGACAGAACTTTTTATTCATCAAGTGATCAAGTTTTACTTGAGTCGAGGCAAGATGGAAGAAGCAGTTGAATTTGGAGCTTACTATTCCAAGTTAATTTACTTTGGACATTCGTTGGAAATTCTACTCCATACGGTACTTGAAGAAGAGGCCGATTTCAAGATCAATTCGACAGGACAGAATCCGTCCGCCCAAAAACCTGCATCTCCCGCCTCTTGCTCCACAGCATCCAATCCTGCTACTGCATCAACACTCGTTGCAGACGGGAATGCTAAGAATACCCAACAAGAAAGAAAAATCCTACTCCCATTGGTGGCCGAATTCTTGGACCATTTCAAAGAATCTTTGGAAGTCGTCGTCGGTTGTGCCCGAAAGATTGACCTGAAACAGTGGAAAAATCTGTTCCAGATCGTCGGAAAACCGCGAGACTTGTTCGAGAAATCCTTGAATTTGGGCATGCTACAAGTGGCTTCCTCCTACCTCTTGATCCTGAATCATTATTATCTAGACGATGATTCCTTCTTCGATAGTTCGATCAAAATTTTCAATCAAGATTGTCCAGTTCAAAATCTCAAACCGAATCAGCTGGAAGAAGATCATTACTCAATCGAAATTATTTACAGTGATACTGTCAGACTATTCAAAATCGGAATAGAAGTCAAGAATTGGGCGGTAAGTTTTACGACTTCTTTCTACTATACCGACACTCCTCTATTTGACTATGAGTATCTCATCAAGTGATTGATAGCTTACTTCATTTGTGTTTGCGGATGGGCGATATGCCATCTACTGGCCATGAATCTTACATCTAGTTATGTAAAGAATTGATGAGATTCTTGTTCTCCTTAGATCACACCGGAAAGATCTTAACGAAGGCTTTAAAAGAGTCCAATCTCGCCCTCTACAACAACCTCCCCGATCCTGCCAATCATCCCGCACAAAAATGAATCCTAATCACACTAATAATCATCCTATCCATGTTCATTTTAAACTACTTAATTCAATTTATATATTTGTACTTCATATATAGAACATTGTACCCATTTGATTGACACAGTCCAGCAATATTATCTAGTGTATGTCTTATTTATAGCTCTTCATTTGGTATTCCAGTCTATGTGCATAGCTATATGTGAGGCTGAGTGATTCTTCCTTGGGGTTGAATTTAAAATATACATAGAATTGTAGGTGACGTAGACACTTTTTACATGTTAGCTAAGGCTGAGCACCTAACTGAACAAATTGCCTCTCTCTCTTACCTGTGGAGTGATGAGAGACTGGTTGCATTGCACTGACTGGAGGGAGAGACTTATTGCTGTCCCCACTCCTGAGATTTTTGCTTTGGCTGGTTTTTTTTTTTACAAAACTGCTTTTATATTGGAACCTTGAGACCTACATCTATGTCTCTAGTGAGGGAGTTGATGTCCTACATCTTCTCTATCTCCCAGCTACCAAAGCTTCATATTTGTTTCTCTTCACCCCCTTGCAAGTTCTTCATTTTGTCTTAAAGCTGAAGAAGTTTAACCTCCAATTTGTCAATACAGCACAGGCATGGGGCATCATTATAAGTCACAAGTCACATTTCAGGCAAGTTTGGGGGGTGTTCATTGTCATTTAAAATTGACTTCATTGTGCTATCATAATCTGAGTTCCACAAGATGTGATAAATGCTAGTGTATCTGGTCACCACCAAATCCTTTTTTCATATATTTTTACTTCCATCTTTTTATGTTTTTGTATTGACTGATTTTCTTCCACAAATGGTCCCTGTGCAATTCCAATATCTGACCATTCTCCTGACTGAAAGGGAAAAACTTGGCAGATCATTTTACGATTTTATGTGACCCTCAATCTGATGAGTTTTGTGTATTCATTACAGAAAAGGTGCCACAGGACATTTTCTTTAGTTCAATACACCTAATCTGAAATCATCCCTGTTGGCCAGGGGGGAAGGGGGGGGGGGGTTATGCTTGCTGATGATATCTTGGGTGAGAGAAATTTACGATTTTATTTGACCCTCAATCTGATGAGTTTTGTGTATTTGTTACAGAAAAGGTGCCACAGGACATTTTCTTTAGTTCAGTACACCTAATCTGAAATCATCCCTGTTGGCAAGGGGGGAAGGGGGGGGGGGGGTTATGCTTGCTGATATTTTGGGTGAGAGAAATTGTTTACTAATGTTTCAATTTTTGGCCTGACACACTCAAATATGGACACATATGTTTTCACATTGTCTTGAAATATGTTTACAAGTTTGGTCCAATTTGAACCCCCCCATTGGGTCATCCCAACAACAAAACATGATTGGGCAGGATTGGGCCCAAAAACAATGTTGATCCAACTACAGATTGCCACAATTTCAAAACATCTTCCTAAGCCCACCCTAGCTTGGCAGAAGTTGATTGTGTGGCAGGTCTGGCTCCGTAGAACATAACTGGACCTGTGGGGGATCTGCACCCTCATGAAGGAGGAGGGAAATGCAGCTACTACCAGTACCGGCGATCATCTGAAACCCTAAGTACCTACCCGAGCTGATCCAAGACCCCCCGAGGATACCTCGGGGAGTGTCTCGGGACAACCGAGAACCGACCCTGAGTCCCCGGATCGGAGCCCTAACCCACGATGGAAGAGGATAGGAAGAGCATAGAAGCCTGTCTGTGATATCGGCTGAGGGAGGACTTGTCTTGATCATGAACTCAGACGCCTTCGCTTTCTTCAGGTATGGTTCTTCTTGGCATCTTCCAGAGAAACCAAAATCCAATTTCACACTCAGAACTGAGCCACTGACCATCTCATTTTCATCTTTCTCCACGTCGACCTTGGGATCAAACTTGCGGATATGATTGGATGGATAATCGATGTCATTTCTTTCGTACGGCTGGATCCTCAAGAGACTGAAGCCGTCTGATGGATACTCAATCCGTGGAAATACCCCCGGATTTCCTTTCGTACTCTTGATTGAGCTGATCCGGATACCTATCACACTGCAACATGCCACGTTTCCGATCAACGCTACTCGAATGACACCACAGGTTATTGATCTATGCTGAAATCCTCTTTCGGAATTTGCAAGAGTGTATAACTGAAATCAATGCGCATCTTACAAACTACTGAACTGGATAAAAAACTAGCCAGATGGTATCTCACAACCCTCCGCCGTTGACCTTGTTGAAGCGACACCAAAGCAAGACCGTACCGTAGTTGGTCAAAACGATTACACCAATGGATAACATCCCCTTCGTTAGTGAATGATTTGGTGTGGATTCCTCAAGATTGTGCAAAAAAAAGGAAATGTTTGTTAGTACTTTCCTTTCTAATGCCACCCTACCCAACTGACTTGGAGTGGTGGGACGGAGCTCAAGACCTTACATCAAAAGTTTTTTTCAAAAAAAAAAAACAGATGTATGCTAATTTGATGCCTTTTTTGTTTTACAATAGTTTCACCCATCGAACCCTCGTTATGTAGGCGTAGGTGATTTGATCAGTTGCATGCTAATCCAAGTGCTATTCGCGGTAAGTGAATCAGAGAAGAATGTTAAAAAGTATCAAACAGCAGGTGAGCTGTTACAGTACCACGCCAAACATCCAAGTAGATTAAGAACATTGTCGCTGACCTGAGTGGATCATGCGATCTAACACTTTTCACCTTGAATGAACAGTATTGGGCTGCATTGCCCCCAGGCGCGATAACATCGCACCCCACCAGGCGATGTTATCGCGCCTGGGGACAATGCGACCCAATGCTTTTTCTAGTGCTTGTTGATGTTCGACGAGTCTCGGGACGATCAGTTCCGCAGTAACACACTGGCTGCGTTTCATCTCGCGTCGTCCAAGTTGTTTCGAGCTCGACTGTATGCAGCACCTCCGGAGAGCGGCTTTTGTCCTTGGCGAGGTCGTAGCGATTGACCCGCAGGATTGTACAGTCGCGATCGCTTCTGATCTATGTGGACGGGGGAAATGGGAGGGGATTGGAAATCGACTTGATTGGTGTAACTAGCAACACTACACAACATTGATTTTTTTTTTTTGAAATGAAAACCGATACAAGTTTAACCCATATGGAAACAAAAAACTTGCCCACTGCTTTGCACTTGAGAAGCTGTCGCGAATTTGTTCCGATTTCGCTCGTAGAGTGACTTGCCAAGGAGCCCAGTATGTCTTTTTTAAAAAAAACTTCGCGTTACCGTAAGAGATTGACAAGATGAAAAGACTTTGTGCTGTTTTTGAAACCTCGAGTGCCAGGCTTGTCAATGGCGAGATTCCAGAGGCAATTGGCCCTATATGTGTGCTCGGAGTCGGACGCGGGGAAGTTAGCACCGGATGATGAAAACCCAAAACACGATCGTTGAACAATTGGGTCGTTAATTCAAGCCCTGCGATCAAACGCCTATCATTGTATGTCAATATTCACTTACTTATCCTGTCGCGCAGCGCGTCATTGATTGATTCTATTTCTTAAAGATTTTGCGTTGTTTCAGAGACCTGCAGTGTAGAAAATTTGGCGGGACAGAGGTGGATCATCGGCCCTGCTTTTCGAGGTGACGGACTTACATTTTTGCATCTGGTCAGATGTTGCGTGAATCTCGGGACATGTAATCCCAGAAAATTTGGTGCGAGACCGGTAAATTGTCGGTCTTGGTTGGCAGTCGGGCCGGATCAGCTGCCAAGGAAATTGCATCTAAGGTAGCTGCAAGGAGTGGATACAGGATTCAAAATGTGATTGACGTGCCAATCGCCAATGGTCATTGATGGTTTGCATTTGACTTTGAACCTGATGTTTTGCACTGCTGAAGGGTTTTTCCGCATCACTGATCCTTTGTCATTGCTTCATGTAGAAATGATGTAAACACAAGTGGCCGGCAACAACTTGTTCGGCCACCGTTCCGGGCAGTATTCCGACCAGATTCTTAGACCGGTCCTACATCCAGGCAGTAGAACAGGTGGCCCAGTGCCGATCACCTGTCGAGCCTGCTTGTTCAACCGGCCGCGGCTCACGATGCCTGTGGGCTCTCCTCAAATTCCGTGAGCGTCGGCACTTAGGCCGGCGTCCCCTAACTACAACAGTCTAATTCCCTCAACAACAGACATACATGCATGGTCATGAGATTGGATTTTCCTACTACTTTCACTTTTTTGAACAGTGACGGGTAGCTTTTGACAAGCTTCGGGCTGTCCTGGTATGTTTTTCTTCCGGTGAACTGAACATTTGCCCTCAAGGAAACTACTGAAATGTCTCATTGGCCGACCCAGAAGCCTTTACCTCTCCGCTGAGCCATCACAATAGTGTCGATTGAAGAATTTTAGAATCCCTTGTATGTCACCTCAAGCGGAGCTTTGCGCAATGAGAAGACTCTAGTGAAGAATGCATACATTGTACGTCGCGAATTCAGTTGGCTTTACATTTCATCTGCTGAACATAGCCCGCTCAAAGGAACAGCGACAAGCATGGAACGGTTGATGGATTCCTTTCCTCTTGGAGTAGGATCCATGAGATATCACAAGACACTCTGCAAACGCAACAGTGTAGCTTCTCCGGAGAAATAACCATGCAGGGTCCAGAATTAAGGAGTTTATTGATCCTTTATTTTCTACTTCATGATCAATAGACGTATACAAGCCTCAAGCTGACCCACTATGTATCTCGGTTTACACGTCTCATTGGCCCCAACGGCAGGTATCGCTTCTGGATGGATTTAGCCTTTCTTTGGTCCCATCGTCAACCTAGGGGAAGGCTAGCGGAAACCACAAAAAACGGAACATTAGACATGTACTAGCCAGACTGGCCTTGTCTCTGCTTGCATGTCTCTTTGCCCTCGAAATTAGGTAGCACCACTTCACATCAGGTAGAACATCAGGCGTACAACCCCCTTTGACTCCGCCAGGTAGCACAACAGGATGCCTAAAACCTTCTTTGACTCCGCCATACAGCAAATTACATGCAACCTAAGGAACGGCCAACGGAGACTCTATGCTTCCGGATCGACAGAGCAGCTCTCTAAGGGCAAAAAGTGGTAGTAGGTGCACTCCTTTCATCTATTTGATGAGGCTGAGTGAGAAGTACGCTATGCAACTAGGGAAAGACAACTTGTTGGCAAATGCAAAGGAAAGGAGTAGACTGAGGTGGCCATTGTGTCCATAAAAGAGGTACGATTCCGCAAGAATCTCATCCTCACCACCCATCTCATCCTCACCACCGACCTCATCACCCACCTCACCACCCACCTCACCACCCACCTCCTCTAACAAATCCACTCAGAACCGCCCTTCTTCCTATTATCTCTTACACATTTTATTCACATAGTTATGTCTGACTTTAGTTTTCCCTACATGGCACCCGGCACCGAGGTGGGCATGGATGACGATAGTTTTCTTTGCAACTGGCCTATCCCAGAGCCCTTGGGCTCTCCACTCATGCCGCAGCAGACACCGGCCTTGGACTCATTAGCCCAACCGAACCATCACCCGGCAACTGCAGTGCCAGCCGATGTCACCTTCGACTCTTTTGCAGTTGAAAGCTCAAACTGTGAGTGCACGATGTTCTCTTGACCTCTGCATTACGATCGATAGAATTCTCAAATTAATATTATCACCATAGTCCCTCCATCAATCTTCAATGCGGGAATCAACCCTCAATATCTCAGTCCCCAGCCCTCATCATTCCGTGAGTCTCAAATGTACTCTTCATGTGTGCATAGATTCTGACGAAAACTTATTTACACCGGCGAAACAAGATACTGCATTTCCAGTCACTTCAACTGGGCTTTTTGACCTGCAAGGTGGCCAATGGCCTCTTGCAGACTCGGGATCGTTTGCCATGCCGGCACCACAGCCTAACTTGGGAGTCGACCCGACAAACATTTTCTTGCATTATCCACACAGTGAGTCTTCTACTTTTAATTAATCTCTGCACCCTGACTTACAAAGCTCCACCCCCGCTACAAGACATGGCTGTTCCAGTTCCTCAAACTGGTTTTACTGAGCTGCAAGGTAGCCAAGGGTCTCTTGCAGCATCAGCATCTTGGGCGCTTCCAGGAGCCATCCCCGAGTCGGGGATCGACCCGGCAAACATTTTCGGCCAGCAATCATACCGTGAGTCTTTCACATCTGCATCATGTCGCATAATACTCCAGGATGGAAAAATTGACACTGTGACCACTGCCTATCCACCACCACCACCAGATACGGTCGCTCCCGTTTCTCAACAAGGGCTTCCTCAGCCGCTCGGTGGCCAATGGCCGCCTGTAGGATCGGCATCGTTGCCGCCTTCAGTGGTAGCCATGCCCAACGCGGGAAGCGACCCGGTGAATTTTTCGCTACAGCACCCTGACCGTGAGTCTTCTTTCTATTGACTTCTACATCGTGACAACTCCACGATAAAAACAACTGACGCAGTCTATCCACCGCCGAACCAACATACTGGTGTTTCACTTATCCCAGCTATTCCTTCGACCAGCTATCACGCTGGCGTTCCCCAACAGTCGGGGACCCAATTGCCTCTTGGCAATGTGGGATCAGAGGTGGTTCCGGCTGGGCAAGAGTCTCCGGCTCAAGATACCTCAGGTAACTGATTTCTTTCTGCTTGTTTTCATCGGACATCATGATGAAATGATCAACCTTATTTAGATGACAGACCAAATAGAACTAACTCTTTTTGCATTTAGATGCTGGCCCACGCTACATACGATTGGCCAGCCGGGAATTCAAATGCTGTGAATGTGGCTTGATCGTCAAAAAGAACCGGCGAAAAAACATGACCCGGCATATTAGCACGAAACACCCCAAACCCGGAGATCCTCAGCGGCCTCTATGTAAGTTTTTTATACATCATTTGATAAAGGAAACAACTTGCAGATTTCACCACTAATCATTCTCCTCGAACTTATATCCCAGATGAATGCGACCAGTGCGGTAAGACCTATATGAACTCGGGTGAATTGGCCCAGCATAAAAGGGACGATCATGATGCGCCGCCACCCAAGCCGCGGGCAACGAAGCAGAAAGCAGCTTCGGAAAAGTGTATGTACTCTAGTCTCCGACTCCATCATACACCAGTGGACTTTTCACTGATTTTCATTTGTATACGTTGCACAAAACCTTTTCTAGTCCCGTGTCAGGTAGCCGGATGTAAGCATGAATATGTCAGCTTGGAGTCGCAAGCTTATTACAGGCACCTCCAAGAAAAGCACGGGTTGGAGGTGGAAAGAAAAATCGAAGAACGGGAGATGGTCCCAACTTCACCACCACATAACCCAATTGCTGGCCCATCACGGCCTCGGGGACCACCAGTCCTATGAATTGGTGATGAATTCTTTTTCGATCCTCTGTTTTTCTTCTTTTGTATGAAACACACACCTTGCTTGAATAGAATAAGTCTGTAGTTCAGCGCTGTACCTTGTATTTGGAAATTTTGGATTTATTTATTTATTTTGGAAAGGACCTTGTATAAATCTGGTGATTTGCTTTGCCAGTGTGCTTGCTGTCGTGCGCTTTCTTCCGACATGATTCCTCCCAAGTCCCTCGCGACTTCGGTGGGAGGAATCGAGGATCTGATTCTGAGCTCATGCCGGAGGAGGTCAGATTACTACGCCTCCGCAGCTAGTATGTAAAACGCGTTAACACGCGAGCCTGTGCTCGGAGGTCTCGAAGTCCTCCCTTCAACTTAACAAGTCCCTATGGGGACGCCGTCCCGCAGCCTCCGGCAAGCCATCGGAATATGTTCGGATCAACTGCCGAATGGGCTTATGATGTATCAAACAGCTTTCCATCGAAGCAACATAAGTTAGGACATATTACTAACAATGTCACTGTGCTTAAATCTGGAACAATCAACAACTATTTGACCATAAGCGCAAAAAAAACCGAGCTCTCTAAGACATTTCAGTTTCCTTTTTGCTTGTCATTTTTTTAAAAATGATATTTTCAAATTCTATGTATGCAGACTTTTTTTTTATTTATTGCAACCAAAAAAAAAAAAAACAGATTTAGTTGAGAAAAAAAAAGGAAGATTGATCAGAGCAAGAAGAAAGAGGCTAAATGAAATTAAGGAGGAAGAGAATCGATACACAATATCACAAGAGCAAAGTCAGATGGGTGGGGAGGGTATGAACAATTCCAGATATATATATGACGAGTGTAATTCTTAAGAGGAGCGAGAAAAGAATAACAGTACAAAGAATAGTAAGGAGGATTTGAGATAGGGTAGTTTTAGTATGTGAGGATGTGTCCATTTTTATTCTTGCTCGTCTTCCTCCTGTATCAAGGCTTCAGGACCATCGATCAGTCGAACCCTGGGTTATCCATACAATTTGAATTGGATTTCAAAGTTGACCATCCATACAAATCTTGATCAGTAATAATCCGGGGAAAGACAAAAAATAAAGCAGATCGGTTCAGGTGAGAGGAGGGAGGCCAGGAAGCATACAGGATATCAGGAGTCTTCAACCAATTCCGCTCTCCACTACCGAGTTCACGTTTCCAAATCTCAGTGAAGAAATACCTATGAGGAGAACAAACAGAAGGAATCCCGGTAAAAGAAAACGTGAGTCGGAATGTGGGGAGAGAAGGATTTCAGTAAACAGACCAGAAATGGCCGACGGCGATGCCCAGCAGGTCGCCGATCACGCCATGGTAGCCGCTGGAGAGAGCCCAACTAAAGAGGACGAGGGCGTATGGCAGATGGCCCGCGGAGATGGTGATGACGCCGAAGAGCGACAGACGGACGTTCGAGTTCAGTCGGGCCCATAGATACACCAGCGTGAAGCTTAATGGGGCCGACAGGAACGGGGCTGGTGATAGCGGCGAGAGAAGCTGGATCGTTTCAAAAAAAAAAAACACATCTCGATTACTCTGTTTCGAAGATCCAAAAACTTATGTCCTGTGGGATGCTTCTCGGCGGACGTACCAGTAAAAGGGTGCAACACACTATCAGTAGCCACGCATAATCTGCCCGATGGCCATGATAAGTATTCTCTTCCAGCATTTTCGAATATCTCATACTACAACACCAAATAAACAAATCCGACGATCAATTAACTCTTTCAGTCACGCTGCTAAAAATGTGGATTCCTGAGAGACTTACAAGAAGAATAGATGGAAGAAGAAGTCGAGACTCAGGGGTCCAAAGTACAGGAAATTGGTCACCAATCTCCATAACTAATTTTCAAAACACAAAGATCATAAAGTTGAAGGAAGTGAATCAGTCTTGCATACATAAAATCTCCAAAACAATGATTTGAAAACTGATGGAAGATAGAGCTCAACTTGGCCATGTTCGAATGTAGCTCGATATGTGAAGTAAAGCTGGTAAGGAGTTACGACATGACATTGCTACACAAAAACAACGAAGATGTCAGGGAGGAGGCAATTCAGAGAAAGTCCAGTAGGTTCGGAGTGTGACCCAAGAGGTTATATGTTTGACTCACAACTGCAACACTGGCCGCCAACGCCCCTCTGCGAAAATTTCCCATTTTATTATATGAACAACACAAGTCGTACCAAGAAAAAATTAATCAATCAGTATACTATTGCTCTGTCCTAGTCTGATAAAATGACAAACATGGGGCTCAGACTTACACCAAATAAACCTTTGTAATCGGAGGACAACTAAAAGGAAAGTGGCCATTGTTTCATTTTGTCAAGTTAGCTTCTCCTGTGAGACCCACTCCACACGATGATGATGGATAGAAAAGAGAATGAAGCTTACTCTGCCCAATCCATTAGATTTTTTTCGTTGAGACGAGGACGATAAGTGTGTTTGTTGAGGTCCTTTGTGAGTCAGCGGGGAGAGGCTTTTTTGGATAAGTGGTGGTGTCGGAGTTGTTGAGCACAGTGTGTGATGGACTTCCACAAGTTCACAGCTCTGGACCCGCGTGGAGAAGAGGGAGATGTCGCTGGCCTGTCACGCTTCGTTGTTGCTGGGCTGTCCACCGGTCTCGCTGACGATCGAGCGCTCCTGCGCAACCCGTCCCCCGCACACCGTGAAGCACACCGCTCGTGCTTCGTCATCACTTTCACACGGGGGGCCGTCGGACCCCCGAAAAAGCACCACTCGTTCTTTGAGCTCTTTATTATTGGAGTCCACCACCACTTGATCTTGACTGGGTGCTAAAGGTGCAGGGGATTGCTAAAGATCCGTAAGGTTGTAGTCTTGGTAGGATTCCCCGCCTTTGTTTGTATACCCAGCCACCTGGTTGGACTTTTGTTCGATTCTTTCAATGCTCAATTCTGTATTCAGAAAATTTACTAATGATGCTTCAACTCTAGCCTCTTGAATTGTATCGGTTCTCAATCCTTTATAAGAATTTATTACCAATTTAAAGCTACTTGGGAGTTCTGGTACTACCAGGATTCAACAAGAATTACTTAGCTTTCCATATCAATAAAAAAAATGCCAAATTACCCGCTACTGCAAGCTCCTCTTGTTGAAGTAAATTTATCTAGCTCGAGGAAAGGAGATGGGTTTGGATGAGTTAAGTTGCTGATGGTAGTGGGTACATAGACTTCTGGCCCAAACTTCTTTCTCGTCTACATAATCCCTCCCCCCTCAGCTGAGGCTCTGGATTGGTGATGTATGAGCGAGTGGTGTTTATAAATGACATAGCTTTGACGGTCTACGAGCTGAGTCTAAATTTGTTTTTTCCAGCCATTTTTGACTAGTTTTATCCGGTTTTTGCCAGGTTTTTTCGGATCTTCTTCCCCCTTCCCCCTCCTCCCCCCCTCTCGCCCTCTCTGGCTCTGGCTCTTCCTCCTCTCCCTCTCCCACTTCAACCGATTAGTAAACAACCAAGTGAACCAGAAACAAGTCATCAGTCGTTTGTTGTTGACCCATTTCCCTCTTCTGACTACTTCCCTTCCACTTCTGTCCAAAAAACTCAATCAATCACCTCAGTCTTCAAAAGTGTGTCGGTATTTCCCTTGCTCTCTCTCTCTCTCATTACCCTTATCTTGCAGTCCTCTCAACTTGTTTTGGATCTTGGGCTCTTGGTCTTGTCTCTTGTTCTGCACTACCACACTCCTATTCATATCATCATTATATTGACCCGACTTCTTCTCCTCTTTCCTCAAAACTCTCTCATTCAGAATCACTACAGCAATGGCTAGCCGAGAAGACTCAGTTTACATGGCCAAGTTGGCCGAGCAGGCCGAGCGATATGATGAGATGGTCACCTACATGAAGGATGTGGCAAAGGTAAGCAGCATGACTTCTTCCTCTTCTTCCTTATCCTCTCTTCCCTCGCTCGGCCTCACCCAAACGGTATATCACACTCGTCATATCGATCGATCGCTGTAGTCCTATCTTCCTCAACCACCCCTTCCCCCCCTTCAATTCCTTATCTGGCTCTCAACACCCGCTCACACAAACACGTATCCAAACATGTGTCGAATCAGTTCCAGTAACAAACACCCCTCTCACCCGATCTCTCTCCATCCATTCTGTTTTTTTTTTCTCCTTGACCTATCCAAAGTACGCATACTGACCAGGCTTCAATTTCATGACTGTGATTGTAGCTCGATCAAGAATTGACGATCGAAGAACGCAACTTGCTCTCAGTTGCTTACAAGAACGTCATTGGTGCCCGTCGTGCTAGCTGGAGAATCGTCAGCTCGATCGAGCAGAAAGAAGAGGTTAGTCACCCTTTGTTCTTGGTTTCCATCCGATTGTTTCCTTGTTCTCCGATCTTCCCCTGGCTTCTCATTCACACATACTGATCGGGCAAATGTTTTTTGTTCCCTTTTTTCACTCTCCACAGGCCAAAGGCAACGAGGCCCAGATCGGCCAAATCAAGGCTTATCGTGACAAGATCGAGGCCGAGCTCGGTAAGATTTGCGAAGACATCCTAGAAGTCCTCGACAGCCACCTCATCAAATCGGCCGAGTCGGGTGAGAGCAAGGTATTCTACCACAAAATGTTGGTGATCTCCTTGTATTTTCATCCAATCCTTGAACATGCCCCCCTCCCTGACGACCCGAGCCCGCCCTTCCGGGTCAAAATGAAACTAAACAAATCGGACCGAAGTTAATCTGAAATTGGTTCTCATAATTTGCTGTGTAACTTTCACAGGAAAGGTGACTACCACCGTTACCTCGCTGAGTTCGCAACTGGTGAAAAGCGCACTGCCTCCTCCGATGCTTCCCTCGAGGCCTACAAAGCTGCATCATCCATCGCTACCGTCGAACTCGCCCCTACTCACCCCATCCGCCTCGGACTTGCCCTCAACTTCAGCGTGTTCTACTATGAGATCCTCAACGCGCCTGATAAAGCTTGTCAGCTTGCCAAGCAAGCGTTCGATGATGCTATTGCTGAGCTCGACACGCTAAGCGAGGAGAGCTACAAGGACTCCACCCTGATCATGCAGTTACTCAGGGATAACTTGACACTCTGGACGTATGTATTCCCTCTCTTCTTGGTCAACCCCCATTCCGATACTCAATCGATCTTTGTTTGCTTCAACAGCTCCGACTTGAACGACAGCGTACCTGATGACAAGGAAGAAAAGGCTGCGGAGCCCGCTGCGGTATGTCATTAGTCATCTTACATTAGCATGATAAAAACCTTCTCGAGCTGATTGTTCTTCTCTTCTTCCATTTCCAATGATCCACTGTTTGTAATAACTTGTTGTGATAGGCTGCTGAGGGAGCTGCTGAACCTGCTGTTGAAGCATGATTTAATCTTTCTTTAATTCAACTAAAGCAAGAGCACTTCCACCACAACCTCTCATCCTGTTCTCACACCCACCCCATAAAATCACAAATGTTTTTCCAACCTCCTCTCTCTTTGCCCGTTTGAATTATTTACCTCGCGTGAACAAAAACTTTTTCCCTTTATTTTTTTTGTTTCTTTCCCCCTCCCCCTTCCACACCTGAACCCCCCATTGTGCCTTTTCTCAATTGATATTTGTTTCTTCTTCTAAGTTAGTTTCAAGTATGCAAGCTTCTTATATTTTTTTTGATGTCCCCTGTTGTGTTGTCTCCAAACAAACAAACACACAAACAAACTACACAAATAAAGATTTAGTTTAGTTGGCTCACTCCACCAAGCTCACCCCCCATAGTATTTTCTTCTTTTCCTTCTGCTTCCTTCTGTTGAATTGGCTGTTCTTCCTTGAAACTTACTTTTTCAAACAACCATCCCACCCCATCTCACCCTGCCCCACATACACACCAAGATGCCTTTTTTGTGGGCACTCCTTTCTCATTCCTGTGAGTCTGTAGGTCAACTGGTCCAGGTTGGGTGAGAAAGAAAGACAGAAGGGGTGGTGCCTTCTTGTTCCCTTGTGATTCTCTTGCACCATCTGTTTTGATGACTACATACCTATTTATCAAACTTAATCAAGTGCCTTGGTCTTTGGAGGGGGAATGCTGTCCTGCAGGGACCCTCCCAAAGAGAGGGACTTGAATGCCCAAAGTGCCAACTGGTGCCTGAGGTGATTGAGTATAAACTTCCAGCCTTTTTTTCTTTCTAAGGTTGCTTGGTACTGGCCTCTTTGTTTCAACCCTGATCATCAAAGCTTTGTAGAGAGTGAGACAATGGTACACCGTCTTCTCCTCTTTCACATCATGTCCTCAGAATTGGCCCGTCACCTCTGGTTGTTGTCTGGTGTGATTTTGAAGAAATTTTGGATAAAATTGCACCTTGATGTTGTATGGTATGTGTGCAACTCAAAAACAGATCTCCAGGTCCACAAACACCCAATAACAGCAGCCTCAAATCTATCCAATCAATTGTCTCAGTAGCCATCATGCACTTTCCTAACCTGCGGCCTCAAGAATACATCCAGGCCAACACAGGGTCAAAAATACATCCAGACCAATTGCTCAAGTCTCTAGTCAAAATGAAAGATTACTGGTTTCCTTTGTCAGTACATTAACACACACACACAGAAATTTTCTATTGTGACACCCTAAAGGATCTACAAGTCAAAACCGTAGCAGCGCTCGGCAAAAGGTACACTAAAAATGTCTTTGTCCAAGCTGGGACAGGGTTTGGGAAGACACATATCTCAGAAAAGTTTGTTCAACTCTTCTCAAGAAAAGTGGTTGTGTTGGTTTTGAATGCTTTGGATTCTCTAATCAACCATCAGGTAATGATCTTTGCACACCATTATGTACATATGATGTCTTGCTTGACTGTGATTAATTGAATTGCAAAAACTGTAGCAGGTCCAGGAGAAAGAGCTGGTTGATATTGATACAATCAACTTGAACAAAAAATGACTTTAAGTATCAAGGTGATTCAAAAGATTCTGAAGGGTTCTTACAGCTTGGAAGTTGTTGCTTTTTGAGATCTATATAAAACCAAAAAAACGTGGTTAATCTTAGGGGGTTGGGAAAACGACTCCCAAAAATTTGACGACGACTCCCCATTTTGGTTGAGGGGTCGTCGGATGGGAGTCGTCTTTCCAATTCCCCCTGGGGGATTGGGAGTCGACCTCCCAATCCAATTTTTATTTTTTTTATTTTTTTGGGTGGGAGTCAGCGCCCAAAACCTCCTTGGCAAGTGGGAGGTTTGGGAGTCGCT